ATTGGCACTTATTTCACACAAGCAGTTTTATCAGATTGTACACTAATACATCAACATGTTACTTTGACAAGACAACACTTAATAATGGATAAAGGATTTAACAGTCAACTTCCATACATGAAAATATTAATGAAATGTAAATTGATAACTTTCAGTAAGTACTTCTTCTAACTACTTGTAATTGTCCACATTGATTTTAAAGAGTTTTAATCTATCTATTTCTTATACAACTGCATTCATTTAGTGATATTTGAGAATTTCCTTGTAGAGACAGCTCATTTGTGGTCATACCAATACATTAACATCTTCTCTTATGTCTAGAGTTGAAACATTATGGCATACTTAATAGAATAATATATTTAGCAGCCATATGTAGCATATAGGTGTGAGAGGTCCCTTCATCCATCCTGCAAACATGATGTGATGGAATTTATGGTAATGGTAATGATTTATGTAATGTGATTAATGATAAATAACTCTATCATATTTCTTATAAATGACAGACAGTGTCTATCCATTTGTGTTTATCGTTATGGAGTTACACATCATATTAGTGATCTCTGGCGTACATATTGTACTTATGTTTTAAAGGAACCTTCAAAGCACCATAACCACTAAAGCTCGCTCATTGTAATTAGTCAGTCTATTTTTGAACCAGCAAAATGCACCAATATATAAAGAGTGACACAATGGTTTTATACATAAAAAAAAATAATGCAATTGGAAAATTATGGAGCAAGCTGAAAACAAACAAAAATAACCTACAACAGTTATTGTAAATAACTCCCATTGCATTGATTTCCAATTAGCAGTATGTTTCAGCTATAAAACAGGTTATATAAAAAAGTGAAATGTTCTGTAAAGTACTAAAAATCAGTCTGTCACCATGAAAACTTGTGGAACCTGCAGAGACAATGCATTGGTGACTCTGCAGTGTGACCATATCTGCATTTCTCTTAGGAACACTTTTTATACATAGTCCCAATAACCACAGGGTTTTCCGCTAAACTCTGAACTCTAAAAAAATCTGTATTGTAAAATGTAAGGAACACTCCAAGCACTTTAACCACTATTGTGTGCTGGTACTAGGAGTGTCCACCAATGAAAGTAGCGAACCCATGGTTGACTTTGTACAAAATTAAATGTGGTCCTTCTGCAATGGTTGTGGTGCTTGGAATGTTTCTTTAAATTAGCATAGAATAGTAATGATTAAACCTGTAAATTGGATTAACACAGTGACTTGGGAAGATGCCAATTTTTCCTGTCATCAATGAGACCCCTCGAAGCCATCCATCCTGGAATTTTCCCAAAACACGAACTCCTTCTCCTTTCTTGAGGTTTATCTGCTCTGGTGAATTAGCTGTATACGGGTGTAAAACAACATACCTGGCAATATAACAAGAAATTATTAGATGGTATTGCACAATTATTCCATGCACATCATACAATGATGGATAGTTACATAGTTATCTAGGTTAAAAAGATAAACCCTGACGTCCATTCTTTTATAATGTTGATCTAAAAAGAAGGCAAAAAAAATCCATTACAGCCATTTCCAACAATGCCACAAAATGGGAAAATAATTCCTTCCTGACTCAATAATGGCAATCAGAATTATTATTTAATTAATAACCTGTTTACATAAATATCAATTATATCGTTGAATATTCTGTTTATGCAAAAAAAAAAAATCAATGTTTTTTTCAATTATCTATAGAATCTGATTATACACCCTCTTTAGGCAGAGAATTTCACAACGTTATTGTTCTTATAGTAAAGAACCCTTTCTTCTGCTGTAAGTGAAAACTCCTTTCTTCCAGTCTCAATGGGCGACCTCTTGTCTGTTGTATATTCCTGCTAATGAACAGGTCAACTCATAGCGTTTTGTACTGACTCTGTATATATTTGTATAGTGCTACCATATCCCTTCTGAGGCACTTTATTTCTAAAGAAAATAAATGCAGTTTTTCTAGTCTTTCCTCATAACTAATGTTTTCTATCCCCCTTAATAATTTTGTAGCTCGTCTCTGCACTTTGTCTAGTTCTGCAGTATTCTTCTTTTAAAACTGGTTTCAGGTTACCATTGATTTGTAAAGAGGCAAAATTATATTAATAAATTAATATATTCATAAATAATATATATCTAAAAATTCAACAACAATGTAAAAATCTAAAGTATGTGTCCAACATGCTTCTAATATTATATGGGTGGGAAATATATTTGCTGGAATGATTTATCCATTTGCTTCATGCTGTGCTGTAATATTGGGGGAATTTTTTTTTTCCTCCACTGGGCAATAAATATTCTTCTTATATACCAACTGAGTAAAAGTCAGCTTTGTGTGGAATTATTATTTTTTTCTTTTACGAGTCATAACATTTCCATGAATGCCAAAAGGTAATAACTGTTCATAGAAATGGGTTGTGAAGAATTGGACCTCATCACGGGTTCTTGGCGGGGCATACTGGCCAGCCTCTTACCCTGTAACTATGGCCCTGTGGTAGCCTATGTTAAAAAACACTGTTTGTGCCTCTTGGACTTATAGCAAGAACCATTCGAACTTTCAAAGTGGCACTTCGAACTGTCGAACTCCCAAAGCCATTCAAAGTGGCATTTGAACATGTGGCGTCGGCCATCTTGTTTAGTCGAGCGCATACAGTGGTGTTTGGTCGTTGAGTGCATGGAACTCAAATCGGACACTCGACGGCATGAACAGCACTAAAACTTTACCTTCCATGGAGGTTCGGCTATTCGAACAGGAGTCGAACGGCATTTGGTAAGAAGATACCCCAGAACAAGAGACATACACTAACGATATCCACGAACGGCTTTGTTCGGTAATTCAAACATTACTTTGAATCCTCGAAGTAGACCAGCCGCACAGTCTGATTTTCTGGAACTGTTTTGGGCATGAAACCATGCGTGCGGTCGGTCAAAATGGAACTTCCATAGAATTCCTGAACCCCTGAACTGATCTGGGTGATTTTTGAATATGTTGATTTTTGGATATACCCTATCAGAGGATGTAATAATTGTAGGGATTTTATGTGTTTTGGGGGTACTTTTGGGGTTTTGTAAAATGTGTGTTTTTTTTTGTGTTTGGAGATAATTGAGTTTAGTATAGTGCTTGACTCGATTATCTCCTAAGTAAAGGGGAAGGCTTATTGTATTACGTGTGAGAATGCCTTAGATTGTAACTCTATTGTGATTGGTGAATACATTTGTGTCCCTATCCCCAACAAGGTCCATGTGGGTGTCACAGTGAGAAGCACGCAAGCGCCTCTAGCGGCTGTCAATGAGACAGCCGCTAGAGGCTTTGGGGGAAGGCTTAACCCATTGATAAACATAGCAGTTTCTCTGAAACTGCTATGTTTATAAAACAATGAGTTAACCCTAGCTGGCCCTGGCACCCGTATCACTTCATTAAGCTGAAGTGGTCTGGGTGCCTAGAGTGGTCCTTTAAATGTGAAAATCCCACATAAGGCAACCCATTTAGGGAATTATGTACTAAACAGCTGAAAGATCAACAAAACAAAAACACTTTTTAAAATTTTGATCTTTCAGTTGTTTTACTAGATACACACACACACACTTACAGATATACTGACACACATAACCACATACATACACACGCTCACAGATATACAGACACACACACACACAATCACAGACATAAGCACTCATAAGCACAGAAACACAATCACAGACAAACATATAATTATAGACACATTTGTACACACACACACACACACACTTTTGTTTTGTAAATCAAGAGGTCCACTCAGCCTCCCTACCTTGTTCTGGGAGGGCTGGAATGCATCTTCTCCCTGGTGGCCAGTGATTGGCACTAAGATCACTGTATTCTTTCTGCTCAGGTTCCATGAGTGCCTTATAGTGATGCCAATGCCGGAACATGAGCAAAATAAATAAATGCACTCCCACCAGTCAGGACCAGTTATATTTTGGCAAAGTAGCATCTGCCAATGGGGAATGCAGGTGTCTATTCTGCCAAGTTTAGTAAGTGGCCCACTGAGCACTGGCACACTGAGGGAGGATTTCTCCATTGTTGCAATGCCATAGCTCTCAGAGTGAGAAGCACTAGAGGCACTTTCTCCTTAAGACCTTTAAAAATTGAACACCTCTACGTTTGCCATTATCACACACAGCCAAAGGATGATGCCAAACGCTGTTTGTGCTTCTCATAGAATACCATTGGATTCAATGGTTCTCTATGAGAAACATCTGAATGGTGGAGCATCCTAATTTCTTAAATGCTTCTCTATGAAAATTATGTATTGGATGCAACAAAAGTATCTGACAAAAGTAATCAATCTTGATGACTTCACAGAAGGTGGAGCAACTGTTCCATGGAGACTTCCCTGGCACTTGAATTCAGAATTGTAAAAAATAAAATAATATATATATATATATACTTATATATATATATATATATATAAAATAAATATATATATATATATATATATATATATATGAAACAAGGGGGGGTGGCTGCACTCAACTAAACATGCATAAATGGGGTGCTGCTGGGGGCCAAATTATACAATACACAAGATCCAGCACACTCATCTATCCACTAAACAGCAACTTCAATGTTGACAGATTTTATTAGTTTTTTTTTAAAAAACACCTAAGCTAGGCAAAAATAATGGGGGTTTAGTTACATTATATGATCATACATTGCATAAGCCTGCCACAACGCCAATATACCCCATCTTTAGCAGGTCCTTCTCTAACAGCCTAATGTCTGCTCTTATAAGATTAACCCACTTACTTGGGGGAAAAAATCAACCTGGGGCTCTCTGCAGTACAAGGCTAAATAGGGCCCTGAGATGAGGCACCTGTGACATGGAGGGGTGCAAAACCAAGGAGTTGGCTAGACTCCTAAATATAAATATATGAAACAAGGGGAGGGTGGCTGCACTCACCTAAACATGCATTAATGGGGTGCTGCTGGGGGCCGAATTATACAATACACAAGATCCAGCGCACTCACCTATCCACTAAACAGCAACTTCAATTTGTTTTAAAAAAACAAATAAAATCTGTCAACATTGAAGTTGCTGTTTAGTGGATAGATGAGTGTGTTGGATCTTGTGTATTATATATATATATATATATATTTAATTTTTAAAAATAAAATTTAAAAAATGAGAAATAAACACATATTTATTTTCATTAGAGTGTTCATTTAGGATTCACAAATGACTAGAAATTCTAGGTAAAAAGAAAGCTATGCAAACATAGTGCAGGATTTACCTTTAACTTTCGATTTACTTGTCTATTTCACTAAATCGTTTTAGAGAGTGTCTGAATATTGAAAATACATAACAAGTATTCATGCCCTTCATGTTCCAAAGCAAGCTCTCTGCATGTTCTGTTAAGGAATGTCATGGCTCTTACACTATGGCAGGACTTGACATGTACTTCACCCGAGCATTATGCATTATGATGGGGTGAAGTACATGTCATTTTTAATGATGTGATTTAAAATGGTGAGATTTCTATTTAGTTTGTGTGTGTTGATTCACTTTCAGTGGATACTGTCGGTTCCTAATGGGGCTAAATTCATTTAATGTTCATATTTTAAGAGAATTTTATTTACAAGCTGTTTTATGGTTGATTTATGTCATAAAGCTAATGGATAGATTAACATGCTAAATGATTTACTAAATTGTGGGATTGTAATTGTAATAGTTTAAGAAGATGATAACCACCTTTGTTTGTCTTTCTTGGGGCATATCCCACAAATATATATTATTATTATAATTATGTTACTCAACACAAATCAGAAAAAGACAGTTCAGTGTTAGAAACAAAGGAATAAATACATTTAATTAATAATTGTGATTTTCTAGATGCAAAATCAGTGCTTTCGCTTTTGAAGCCCATGCACAGTATAGGATTCTAAATATTCACAAAGCATTGATTTTACTAAATTTCAGGATTAAATGTATCTGGCAGAATGCACATTTGCAAAATTAATGTTCACTTGCTTTCTTTAAGGGAAAGATAATCTAAAGTATTATTTACATGGTAGGTGTGGTCATAAGAAAGTTTAAAACCTACCTTATATAGTTATATGGGGGTTATATAGGCTTTTTATTTATTTATCTATTAAAGGACCACTCTAGGCACCCAGACCACTTCAGCTTAATGAAGTGGTCTGGGTGCCTGGTCCAGCTAGGGTTAACCCATTTTTTAATAAACATAGCAGTTTCAGAGAAACTGCTATGTTTATCAATGGGTTAAGCCTTCCCCTATTTCCTCTAGTGGCTGTCTCATTGACAGCCACTAGAGGCGCTTGCGTGCTTCTCACTGTGATTTTCACAGTGAGAGCACGCAGCGTCCATAGGAAAGCAAAATGCTTTTCTATGTGACCGGCTGAATGCTGGCGCAGCACTTGCCGAAATTCAGCCGCGGGCGAGAAGAGGAGGATCGGAGGACTCGCCCAGCGCTGGAAAAAGGTAAGTTTAAACCCCTTTCCAGAGCCGGGCGGGAGGGGGACCCTGAGGGTGGGGGCACCCTCAGGGCACTATAGTGCCAGGAAAACGAGTATGTTCTGATGAGCTTCACTGGCGAAACGTGCACGTCAGGGGCTCTGGACACTTACTGACACATTATTGGTGTCGGCATCTAACTCTCTGCTTATCTATTGCTAAATTACCGACATCAAGTTCATTTATGTCCAGCATTTCAGGAGTGCATATTGGAGACTCTTAACACTAATTTTGTGTACTCTGTACATACTTTATTTCTCTTTCTTTTTTCCTTTATTATGTGTATGGGGGGAGATTGATAAGACCAGGCATTTTATTAAGGGGTGCCCTCGAAGGCACAAGACTCAGGAATCTTTATTCTATATGCCTTCCTCTGTCACTGTCTGTATATTTTCTACTACCTAGGCAACCTGTTCAAAACTGTTTGTAAACCCTCTCTTTATACTTTGACCTATTATTTAGATGCAGCTAGCATTTAGGCAACTTGTGTGATTTTTAACCAGTTAACTGCTGCCTGTCAGCAGTCCTTCACAGGTGAGCTACTACTTTGTGCTCCACTGTGGTCAAGCATAAGTTAACATCATTCAGTGCAGGCAGCTGTTGTTACACTAGAATATACTGCTAGGTATCTTGCAGGAAAAAACGGAGCCAGGTCAGCAACCCCTTATTTTACACTTTACTGCCTGACAGCAAGCTTTAATTTATTATCAAAATGCTGCTATGATCTAGGCAGCTTTTGTGATATTTAACTGGCTAATCGCCATGTCAGAAATCTGTCTTAGCTGAACTATTGACAGCACTGGCTTAGCAGTTGTCTTATCTCCCCCCCCCCCCTTTTTGCTACAGCTATTAGTCACTTCTATTACTTGGGAATACACTGATGTTATATTGTAGCTAAACAGTATTGCTTCAGCATTAGTGTTATTATGTATACACTTTTACAGCTTATATAAGTAGTCACAGAGTTTTACTCGCTGTATAGTCTCCATTTACTCCTGCTGTTCATATTATTTTTCTTTTTTATATTCTTATTTTAGATTTATTTATTAAAAGTTACTTTTTAATCTACAATTTTCTCAGTAAATCATACACAGGTAGAATGGCATTTGTTTCTTTTTTTGTTTATTCCCTATGATATTCACCATTTAGGGGTTATCCCCCTTTTTTGTGCCCTCTACCTTGTGATATCTAAATTTTGGCCCTAGGTTAATTATTTTTGTTTTCCTCGTATAATACATTTTATTTCATATTAGATATTAGATATTCCGTTAAAATGTTTGTACCAGACCTCTTGTGATAAGTGATAATATATTTCTGTATATTATATCTGATAAAAAAGATACTGATTTGTACTTACATGTTAGCCAAGATACTCTGTTGTGAATTTGGAATGGCGACTGAGGGTGATCCTGTGCCTGTAGTATAATACACTGCATTCACCTAGGACAAAATGACATATCGTTAGATTAGTTCTCAGATTCACTCACCGGTAAGTTTTTTACAGACCAATAGTATTTTCTAATGGATTTCAGAGATTTCTTAGGTTCTCTATCTACATCCACGTGCCTGTTTATCCTTTTCAGTTATATAGTAAATGCTCAATATCTATTATCTGTTATCAATTAGGCAAGATAAAGCCTAATGAATGGGAAAGTAGGGAAAAGAAAAATCACAAGCTATTGGATAAAGCAGGTGTAGGCAACCGTCAACACTCCAGATGTTGTGGACTACATCTCTCATAATGCTCTTACAGTGATAATGCTGGCAAGGTATCAAGGGATGTAGTCCACAACATCTGGAGTGCCAAAGGTTTCCCTTCCCTGGGATAAAGTATGCCATTGTGTTTATCCACCAAACTGATAAGTGTGCAGAATTGAACGGCAATTTTCAAAGTTCAGTCCAAAATCCCAAACAAAGAGTCGCTTATTTGTGAGATTTGTTTTCCAGTGTACATATTGGGGATACATTTAAATATATATAATTTCCTAAATATTAACCCATTGATAATGAACCATTATGTTGTCAAAGTAATCCCCCTGTTCCATTACATTTGAATGACACTTTTTCCATAATCAGTTTTGTGATGGATGGCCCTATAGTTTACATGAAACACTCATACATACACACAAAGTGAACTCAACACCTAAATGACTAATTTTTCTAACAATTGATAAAGACTCTGAGATATTTTAAGTGTTTGCTCATGAGTAAAGTGAACACCATAAACACTTCAGCTAAGCTGATGATGTTTGCAAGCTAACCTTAAAGGGATACTATAGGCATCAAATCAGCTTTAGCTTAATGAAGCAGTTTTAGTGTATAGTTCATGCCCCTGCAGTTTCACTGCACAAGTTTAGCTCCCCTGGCTGTGACTGACACAACCTGCATGAAAAAAAATGGTTTCATTTTTAATCATACCTTAACTTGCTGTAGTAGTTTTTATCTGAACTATATATGTTGCTCATGCAAGGTCTAGAAATCTATTAACAGAATAGGAGATAAAAAAATTCAAGCTTAAACAGACTGTTCTATACAGGGACTTACAGTATCTATGTTCCTTTTCAGGAAGTGTTTAGGAAGGCTGTGTAAGTCACATGCAGAGAGGTGTAACTATGGCTATATAAACAGTGATTTAACTAATAAATTAACGCATAACTCAGAGAATTATACAGGGAGTGCAGAATTATTAGGCAAATGAGTATTTTGACCACATCATCCTCTTTATGCATGTTGTCTTACTCCAAGCTGTATAGGCTCGAAGCCTACTACCAATTAAGCATATTAGGTGATGTGCATCTCTGTAATGAGAAGGGGTGTGGTCTAATGACATCAACACCCTATATCAGGTGTGCATAATTATTAGGCAACTTCCTTTCCTTTGGCAAAATGGGTCAAAAGAAGGACTTGACAGGCTCAGAAAAGTCAAAAATAGTGAGATATCTTGCAGAGGGATGCAGCACTCTTAAAATTGCAAAGCTTCTGAAGCGTGATCATCGAACAATCAAGTGTTTCATTCAAAATAGTCAACAGGGTCGCAAGAAGCGTGTGGAAAAACCAAGGCGCAAAATAACTGCCCATGAACTGAGAAAAGTCAAGCGTGCAGCTGCCACGATGCCACTTGCCACCAGTTTGGCCATATTTCAGAGCTGCAACATCACTGGAGTGCCCAAAAGCACAAGGTGTGCAATACTCAGAGACATGGCCAAGGTAAGAAAGGCTGAAAGACGACCACCACTGAACAAGACACACAAGCTGAAACGTCAAGACTGGGCCAAGAAATATCTCAAGACTGATTTTTCTAAGGTTTTATGGACTGATGAAATGAGAGTGAGTCTTGATGGGCCAGATGGATGGGCCCGTGGCTGGATTGGTAAAGGGCAGAGAGCTCCAGTCCGACTCAGACGCCAGCAAGGTGGAGGTGGAGTACTGGTTTGGGCTGGTATCATCAAAGATGAGCTTGTGGGGCCTTTTCGGGTTGAGGATGGAGTCAAGCTCAACTCCCAGTCCTACTGCCAGTTCCTGGAAGACACCTTCTTCAAGCAGTGGTACAGGAAGAAGTCTGCATCCTTCAAGAAAACATGATTTTCATGCAG